AAAGCAAAACAGTCAGCTGCCAGTGAGGCACTACCTTGACATTATTATTATTATTATTATTATTATTATTATTATTATTCTCCTATAAATAATAAGAATAAAACAGAAAGAAGGCTTCCCATAGCTAAGGCCGTGAGTCCCCACCTAAGCACTCCTTTTTTAAAAAAGAGGGTAATTTCACTCCTCCTCCCAGACAGCCCCAACCCTGTCCTGTGAAAAATAAAGTTATATAAATGGTGACACTGAAATGCCGGTGTGTATGATTCAACTCAAGGGCTCCTCTGCCCCGAGATGAAGGCCCCTAATTTCAATGGGTCTGGCTTCCCAGGAGCCCAGGCCACCTCCTTTGCCGCCCCTGGGAGCACTCCTCCCTGGATCCTCTCTTATCCTCCGAATCCCCTTCCCAGGCCAGCTCCAGCGCCTGGTTACCTTCATGTGTTTCCTCAGAGAGCTGGGGTGAGTGTAAGATTTGTCACACATTTTGCACAAGTAGGGTTTGTCCGAAGTGTGGACGTGCATGTGCTTCTTCCGGTCGCTGCTGTTGGCAAACCGCCTGTCACAGCCTTCGAATTCACACTGGAAGGGCTTCTCCCCTACAAGAAGGAAGACAGCGCCATAAGTCACTGCAAAAAGAATCAGCCCACCGAGACCGAATCCTGTCCGCTTATCAAAAGAGCCCTTTTTTGGGAATGGAAAGACTTGCAGTGACTGAGGGATTACAGGGGAAGCAGAATATGACCGGCCTAAAGGAAGACAGTGATCAAATGCCATCTTATTTCTAAACACTTTAATTTGGAAATCCCAGATACTTTCTCGCACTGAGGATGGTAAAGAAGGGAGTACAGTACAATGGGACTTACTTAGCTAAAACATGACAATCCAGGAATTTTAGAAAGTTCTCGGAGCTGTAAACTTGGTTTCAGATTCAGACATACACAGACGAGAGAGATCACACGTGTGCAAAGACAACCTGTGGCCATTGTTTCAAACCCTGAATTCCCGGTGGAAAGCAAGAGGAGATCCTCCAGGAGAAGATGGCCCTGTATCTATTCAGGATACAGCTTAGGAGCAAAATTAGCTTCACAGGCCAAGGTACCTCCCCAATCCAGATTTAATAAAACTAACCAAGCCCTGTTAAATAGTGCTAACAAATACTGCAACCCAAGATCTGAAACACTGCTGTATTTTTCCTTGCATTCATGGAAGGACATTGGAAGTGTCTCCTCGTAGATCTGCCTGAGGTGGTGGGTGGTGATGGGGTGTGTGTGTGTGTGTGTGTGTGGAAAAGGAGTATGGAAGAAAATACGTGCAATATCTTCGCTTGGAATATTCTTAGAGCTTTTTCACCCTGTTGCCAGATTTCCGAGTAATTTGTAGGTGTGAGAATTCAACCACCACCACCTCCCGATCCTCCGCTCCCCTCCCCCTAAATCGGAGGTGGGAGAGACGCGCAATTCCACAAGAAATTCCATTAGCACGTAAATTGTTCCTTAAAGACAACTGCTCAGAGCCAAATCGCGGCCATCTCCCTGCAAATCAACGTCTCGGATCTGTTAAACCTCGTTAAAGCCCGTCTGGCACCTAAGCCTGTTCTTAACACGTCAACAACACAACTAGAAAGGCCCAGCGAGGTGTCCTCCTTTCTCTTCGTCAATATTGATGTCCGGAAATCGCTCAAATATTTGACTTTTTTTTCAGGGCCGGGAAGAGGACAGAAGAGACGATGCAAAGAAGCCGGGGCGCAAATGTGGCCGGCAGAAAAACCTTGGAAACCGGTGCTCTTTGGATTTCACCGCTAGGACTTAGCAGCAGAATCGCCGGCTCCCTTTTGGGGATCCTAAACCTGAACGTTTGTCAACATTAAATTCTCTGTCGGTTATTGCACAATGTAAATAAGATAATGCAGAACCCCCTTCAGCGGCCGCGGCTGAGACTATCAAAATGAGAAAATGTTATGGTCCTGTCTTACTCCCTTGAAATGGAACGGAAAGCAAAGGTATTGCTCTGCGGAAGGAGGACGTCTTGCTCGGAAACAGAGCTCATTTTAGGATGAAAAGCAAATCTACTTTCAGTTCTCTGCAGCGGCATATCGGTGGATTTATTCACCCTCCTGACACGCAGCTAATGAGCATATTTCAGTCATCCTTCAGACCTCTGCGTATTTATTCAGAAGTGCATCGGATGGATTTCTAAGTCAGCGTCGTCAGGATTATATATTTATTTGCAAGTAATCCTCGAAATCTCAGGGTTTCCCTTTGTTGTTACGCTCCAAAAGGACGGAGGGATTGATTACATCTTGCCTTTGCCGCTTTACATCCCACCCGCATTTCCCGTCCTAGCGTGGTCGGTGCTCCGGTCTTCCAAGGAAAATTCCTGGTTTCTAACTAGATTTACTTAAACCTCACTCTTGGTTTTACCCCTATAGAGAAGTGCAAGACCCAACAGCGAGGCGCACATAGATCTCTAAACGCATTCCTTTATTTTATTTTGCCAATCATTAAAGCTTCATACTATTTAAAGAAAAACACGGAGATAAAATAAAGGTTTACCAGACGCCGTCCGTGCACATGCAGGAGGGAGGACAGACGACCGCGAAGGAAGAAAGCAAACCTTTCGGTTTGGGTTTGAGCTGGAAGGAAGCGATTTTTACAGACCTGCCCTCCCCGTGGCCAGCATCCACTCGCGCCCCCCCCTTTCCTCCTTCGCCTCATCTGCTCTGACTGACCTGTGTGCGTCCTTTTATGGATCTTGAGGTTCTCGGACCGGGCGAAGACCTTGCCGCATCCGGGGAAGGGGCAGGGGAAAGGCTTCTCGCCCGTGTGCACGCGGATGTGGTTGACCAGCTTGTACTTGGCCTTGAAGGGCTTTCCTTCGCGCGGACACTCCTCCCAGAAGCAGATGTGGTTGCTCTGCTCGGGGCCCCCGACGTGCTCGACGGAGACGTGAGTGACCAGCTCGTGCATGGTGCTGAAAGTTTTATTGCAACTCTTTTTAGGGCTGCTGAGCTGCTCCGGGTCGATCCACTTGCAGATCAGCTCCTGCTTGATGCACTGCTGGCGCATGTAGCGGAAGAAGGCCCCGGGGTGGTGGTGATGGTGGTGGTGGTGGTGGGCGTGCGGGTGGGCGTGCGGGTGGTGCGCGTGGTGCGCCGCCATGTTCATGCCCATGTTCATATTCATGGGGCCGTATTGGCCATGCAGCTGGGCCGCCGAGTAAGGGTCAGTTCGGGGGCTGGACACCTGGCGGTACTGATCCGACCGACCGAAGACTTCTCCGGGCAAGCCCAAGCGCATCTGCCCGTTGAGCACGTTGGGTGAACCGGGAGCGCCGTGCTGATCTCCGATGCCCGGGAAGAGCAGGTGGCTCTGCGCCTCCGCATGCGGGTG